CTCACCTTCATCGCGCCCACCACTCGCTACGCAGCGCCGCCCTACGCATGCGCCGCCCCCCGGCCAATCAGCGGGCCAGACCCCGCCCACCCGCGGCGTCGCTGTCACCCCGGAGACGGAGAAGGCGGAGGAAGGGCGGCGCCATCACCCAATGGGGAACAGCGCCCGAGGCGCCCGGCCGCAAGAGGTCCCGCCTCTCGCCGGAAGGGCGGCGCATGGGCGGGGCTGTGGTCTGCCGCTCCATGTCTGTAGTTGAGGTTTTGCAAGAAGAAGGTAGTTTTTCTAAAACCAGAAATCCAACTAAAGCAACAGTAAAAATCACATTTCTTAATGAGGCCTGTTAAGTCGCAGACGCAGTACACAAAATGGGCTGTAAGCCAGAGAAAAGAGGCACTAACCCATCACCATTGTGTTTTTAAGCAGCTGTATTCAATCGCAAACAACGCAGGTTTCATCACAAAGTCTCACTGCTCAGTAATTTCTTTTAAAACAATAAATAATTCACCGAGAGCATTAACACATTTAAAAGTACAAACGTACAAAGACTCTGTGTATCAGACGCTTCAGACTTCTGACAGACATTCAATGAGCTCACTTCACCCCACATCCTGTTACCAACATGCACGCAATACTGCTGTTCTGAAAACAAGGAACAAGGCACAGAAAGCAAATACAAAAAGACTTTCCCAGAACATTCACACCCTTCAAAGCAATTATCTGTAACAGCATAGGGCTAAGAAAGCCAAATTATAAAATAACTGAAAAAAAAATAGGTAACTGTTAAATAAGGGTACCAATTTGACACAATCCTGCCAGGCACACAGAACTCTCCTATAAGATGCCGAACATGCTTAAATGGCGGCAGTTAAGCATCTTGCAGGATTGGGCCCCTTGCATTGTGTAGTAACCTTACTGGAAAGACAGACAATTGTTTCATTTCATCTTATAAAATTATATTTTTCAAATTAGTGCAAAGCCTCCTGTAAAATGTAATTAGTCTAGATGTAATGGAATGCCTCAAAAATTCCAAAGTGCAAATATTAAACTTAAATCGGTTAACTTTTAGTCACACTTTACAATTCTTCCAATAACTCATGCTCATAGATTTTTCCTTAAAAATAGCAAAGTAAATATAAAAACCAAAGTAGAGAAAAAGGTATGATGTTTTGCATCAGACATAAAAACTTAAAAAATCCAAAAAGTACACTGGATGTCAAAAATCTCTAGCAGAAGTTATTAAATAGCAGATTTCTTTTAGCATCATAAGACAATATTTAAAATAAGGCTTTGGTCAAATAAAAAGTTTGCTAAACTAGGAATGATGATAAAAGTGCAAAAGATTCACCAAATACACAACTTCATTTCCAACACAGGCATTACACCTGCCGTTTACAATGGTTTGCATTGGTTTGTCAGCCTGCATTGTAATAGCTCAGATACCTATAGCTAAACATGTTTACTATAGGCAAATTAAATATATGGGGTCCAATCCTAAAACTCGTTTCACCCAGAGATAGACTCAATTATATCAGTGGAAGTATATCCATTTATAGCATCATTCCTCTGCGTGTTTGGGGGGCAAGGCCCTGGATCTGTAACATTTGATTATTACAGCGAGTTCACTAATGAGTTCACTCATTTCTTAGCGCTTCTTAAACAGAAGTCCTCTGCTGGCAACTGGCTGGTTACAGCTGATTTTCTTACAAATAGAATCCTTGTTGCATATGGGTAACAAAGGTATTTTTTAAAAAGTGCGTAATATTGGTCCATAAGAACAAGTACGTGTTAGCTTGAGACCAAACACTTTGCTGTGGTAGATATCCTGCACGTTGTGTTTGTTAGTGCACTGGTAGTTTGCTTCAGGAAAAACGAAATCGTCTGAGACTGCAGAGGAGAATGTCACCTTCATAATGAAAATAATTTACAGTTTTACAGTCACAACACATGCTCCAGCTCTTCCTAAGCACAATGGTGCAACCTGTAAGCCAAAAAAAAAAATAAATCCGTGAGATAAATGCAGTCAAATTTATTTTTTTCCCCTAAAACTGAGAGTGTTTAATTAATGCTTGCAGTAATAGCTGTACACCTGCAGCAGAATGGCAATATCACCCATACTCTGTTAAAGTGACTTAAAAAAAATTAGCAAATTGGTCTAAAAATTGGATAAAAAACCCACAGAAAAGGTCACGATATTTTACATAAGAGTGAAGCACCTTGAAAGCAGTAGAAAACCACAAGAATATGACACAATTCTTACAGATAGATTCAGTTACTTAGTATTACATCCTGTGTTATGATACAAACTGGACACCTGAGCTAGACTGTCTGACAACTGAGTAATGGTAGGCAAAAAGATGCGTTTTTCTCAAACAGAAAATGCCAAACATGACAGGGGCAACCGCTCCTTTTTTCTTGAATATTTGATAAGATCTTAAGAGTTCTTGAAATCCACATGATTTCCCAGTCTCTATTAGCTTTTTTTGTAAACAGAAGTTACTTCTGGCAAGACCCTTTCCTGCCGAGATTCTGTTGGACTTTTTTTTTTGAAAGATAGTTTCTAACACTCATCTTAGCTTCCCCTTTTAAACTTCACAGTACTGGAGTGTGTGTGAATAGCACACTAAGTGCTACAGAGTGCTCCAAAGACAAGAAAGTTGTTTTTGCCAACTCCCCTGATTTTTTTCCCCAGGAACAACAGACTTATCCTAAGCTGTCTGTGGCTCTGACAAACTTCAGTTGAGAAAATTCCACTACCCTCTTTTGAGTTGTGCATGGAAGAAGTGGTGACAGACTGCTGACATAATAAGAGAGAAGGAAGGTACACAGACACTTCCAAATTCCTCTAGGAAGGGTTCAAAACTGTCTTTTAAACTTGGATGATGGGATTCAGTGAGATATAGAGGGGACAGGGCAAAGGATGCAAAGGTACATACAGATGGTCACCACCTAGACATCATGTAAGATTCATTTAGATGCAACAGTGAGAAGCACTATTTCTCTCCTCCAGTATACTATT